CTCACTTCAAGTTTTAAACCACAGCTCACAAAGTCCCACAGATCTGGGCCTTTGTTACTTCTCTGATCTCCTTTCCCAATTCTATCTTGCTTATCCCACCCAGGCCCACTGGAGTCCTTCAAACATGGCAAGTATTCTTCCACTTTGGGGCCTTTATACTTTCTCATTTCTCTGCCAGGAACATGCTTACCCATGCACCTCATCTGCATCTCTCCTCCAAAGCCATCTTATCAGAATGGACTTCCCTTGCCTCCTTGTCCAGTACAGCCCCTTGGCCTCTCATCACTGTCCCTCTCCTTGCCCTTCATTTTTTCCACAGCAAACTCTATTTTTACTTAGTAATTATCTGCTCCCCCTCCATTAACGTATAAACACTAGGATAGCAGTGACCTTGTTGTTTTGCTCACTTCTCCATCCCCAGTACTAAAAGTCATCCTCTAGTAAGTAACCAATAAATAGATGCTGAATAATTAGAAATGAATTCAAAGCAAGAAAAACCTAGCCTCTTTTTGCAAAATTATACCCAATATATTTGTTATGAGAGTGCCTATCTAGGTAGCGTGTCCTGTAAATGTTGTATTGTATGAACTAAACCATCCTCCAGATTCTTCCTGACTAAAACCTGCTGGAAATCAACGTTGGGAGACTCAGGAAAGAAGTGGGGGTAGGGAGGGGTTAAACAGAGAAAGAAAGAGGCCGGTTCTGGATATCTAGTGACCAAGAGAGGAGTGGACCTCTGAGCAGCCCCCAGAGCTGAAATGGAAGGACAGTCCCCACCCAGAGCCGAAATGGAAGGGCAGCCCCCACCCAGAGCCGAAATGGAAGGACAGCCCCCAACCAGAGCCGAAATGGAAGGACAGCCCCCACCCAGGGCTGAAATGAAAGAATTCCTACCAGTTCAGGATGCTGATGTGATTAAACTGAATAGGGAAAGGCAGCCATTTCTAAAATCCCACTCCCTTGTGTATCCTACTAGAAAATAGTATCTTGAGTCAATGCCTGCTAAGTATATTCTTTTCTAGTTTTTCCATTAACACAGTTAAAATGTTTAATAATGAACTGTACCACCCAACTCTTCCATTAGTATGGGTACAACACTGATGTTACGCAAATTGAGTATCCCCATTTCTTAACCTTTAGGGAAAACAGCTTTTAAGACTTTTGTATATCTCCCATTTCTCTTACCATTTTATTTTAGTACACAAACTCTTGGGAAATAGATACGTCATTCTTTTCATAAGCCATCATCAAGTTTCAATAAAACAATGGCCCTCATTGATTTGCTTTCATTAATTTTAATTAGTTAACTTATTTAAAATCTTTTTTCTAAAAAAATGTTGAGATAGTTCTTAGATATCCATGTAGTATAATAAAATTTAAAAAATATATAGTGCCTTAGTCTGTTAGGGGTGCCATAAGTACCACAGACTGCGTGGCTTAAACAATAGACATTTATCTGTCACAGCTGACATTTATTTGGATGCTAGAAGTCCAAGATCAAGATGCCATCAGATTCTGTTCCTGGTGAAGGCTCTCTTCCTGGCTCACAGATGGCCACCTTCTTGCTAATTTCTCACAGAGAAAGAGAGAGAGAAAGAGAAAGAGAGAAAGAGAGACAGAGAGAGAGAGAGAGAGAGCGTGCGTGAGAGCTTGCACATGCACACAAGTGTCTCTTCTAATGAGAAGACTATTGTTTTTAGATCAGGCCCCCACCCTTACGATTTCATTAATCTTAATTATCTCCTTGTAGGCTCTGTCTCCAAATATAGTCACATCGGGGTTTAAGCTTCAACATATGAATTGGGGGAGGGACATGATTCAATCTATAGCAAATAAAAACCAAAGCAAAGGAAAACCAAGGCGGTAAATTAAAACAAGAGTTAAGTTTGTAAAAAGAGGAACTAACATTCAGTAAGTGTCTGTTTTTTAGAAGTATTTCCAAACATTTCATATGTGTTATCTCATTTAATCCTAACAAGAAGACTCTGAGCTAGTTACTATCATTCCCATGTGTCATATGGTCAAATAGTATCTTAGAGAAGCAAAATATCAGGCCCAAGGACACATAGTAAACGTGACTAGTATTAAAACATACTAGTATAAGATACAGACTTCATAGCCTGTTTTATACTTCTTCCCTATGGTTTTAATGTTAACTATAACTGACACTTAAATTGTCCTTACATTAAGCACTGATATAAGTATTTTATGTATTTAATGTGCATTAACTCCTTTATTATGTTAAGGGGTATATTATCACCCTAAACAGTACTATTATAATCCCTGTTGTTAAAGTAATGAAACTGCACTACAGGGAGGTTAAGTGTCCTACCTTAACATCACATAGCTAGTAATTGGCAGACCCAGGATTCAAATCCAGGCAGTCTGGCCCCAAAGACCATGTTCCTAACCACTAAACCACAGCTCCTCTCATGCACATATAAAGATGCATTTCCTTAAGTCCTGCACAATTGCTCAAAGTGGATCTCAAATTTGCTTCTTATTGGCTAAATCAAAGATGGTAACAAGATTCAGAATTCATGACATAAAATGATACCAGTTTCTCATAGGCATAATATAAAAGCTTGGGAGAGATCTACTTGTGAAAGCATTCAGTAAATATTTGTTAAGCACCTTTTATGTTATTAGAAATGGCCTATTTTGTATTTGGGTATTTGGTAATGTGAACATAATTTAAAACTTCAAATGTCTTTAATTCTGCCTTGGTTAAAATTATTGTTGAAACCAGAGGCTATAAGTTCAATAGCACAGATATTAAGAACATAAAGGGTTGATACATGTGCTTTTCAAATAAAGATCACTTGGCTTCCCTTTGTTTATATAGATAGGCAAGACTAGTGGATATCCACTGTTACCACAAAATTTAAATTGAATCTATATTTACTTTCTACCTGTCTTCACAAAACAGAGGGTTTTTTCCCCATGTGTATATACCAAATAGGACAAAGAGATTTTCTGTAATATTGAAAGATTTGTTTTAATAATTCCAAGGACTGTGACATAAAACCTTCAAACCATAAATGTTAAATTTGAGATATTACATTCATTAGACTATTTCAGAAGATTGTGTTTTGTTCAATTAATACAAAGTATATTTGTCTTAGGAGGCTGACTTCTTTCAACAATCTTGTGATAATCACTTACTATGATCTCACATCTGGGGTCATAAGTAACCAAACAATTGTAAATATTGAACATATTCTTATTAATAGGTGGATATTGAAAACATTCCTCTTTGCCAAAAATTATTTTGCAAATAAAATATGTAAATGACTAACTGATTAGACTTCAAACACAATATAAAATCTAATTCTTTGACAATACCACTTCTGGGAGCTGGGAAGATGTGAGATTGAAAAGTAGCAAATCTCTGACTCATTGAAAATTTCCTGACATTCCACCCATAAGGTTCCTCATCATCTCCCTGACCTTATATTGGGGTGTCCCAGGATCCAGTGTGAGGGTTCCTTTTCTTCCTACACGCACTCTCTTGGAGATCCAATCTGGTCTCGGGTTTTAAATAACATCTATTACATGCAAATCTTTCCCCAGAACTCTTATTCTTCCTCTTCATGTCTCAGTGTCAGCAAGTCCCAAATTGACACGAACCCTCCTGATCTTCATCCCCAAACTTACTCCTCTTAGACTTCCCCTTTGCAATGAATGGCAATCCCATCCATCCTTCTGAATTCTTAGTATAAAAACCCTGGAGTGATGCTTGATTCCTCTCTCTCTCTCTCAAACCCCACATCCGTATCCAAATCCTATTAAATCTAATTTCAAAGTATATCCAGAATCCAATCCCATCCCACCCCCTCCACTGCCACTACTATGATCCAAGCGACCTCTCTCCTTACTGCCATTGCCTCCTAACTGCTTTTCTTCCTTTCCCGGTCCCCTTCCGTCCATTCTCAGCACAGCAGACTGGATGCACCTTTAACACTTTCATAGCTTATCCGACCTAACCCTGTCTGGCTCTCTTTAACTCCTCGGCCTCAAGGAGCCAGCTCTTTCCTGCTCTGCTGCAGCCAGCTGGTGCCCCTCCTGCCCTGGCCTTTGTACGATTCCCTCTCTCATAACACACGTTCTCCCCCGAGACACGCACAAGGCTGCCCACTGTCATCGTTTTCATGTCTATCTCAAATGTCCCCTTCTCCATGAGGCCTTCCTGACCACACGATCAAACGTAACGACCTCTCCCTGGCACGCCCGTCTCCCTAACCTACTTAATTCTTCTCCAATGCACCTATCACCATCTGCCACACTAAGATTTTGCACATTTATCTTGCTTACCTGTTTCTCTCAAACTCCCTAGGAAAATGTGCGTCCCAGGCGGACCGGGAATGCTGCTTGCTTAGTGCTCTAGCAGCGGCCCCTAGAAATGCGTCTGTACACGGTAGGCGCTTACTGCATTTGCTCCCACGAGCTTGCACCATGCTTCTGCTCAACACCAGGCATTAAGATGTTCCAGTTATGGAGATTCCGCACCACTAAAGGAACTGGAGAAGCTGTCAAGTCGGGCATGAGAATTTGAGGGGAAATGTGCGGAGGTGAGAGGCCAGGGCGCCCCTGAGCAGCACGCAGTCCGTCCGGGCTTCAGCACCGGCAGCTTCCCGGCAGTCATTCGTGTTCGCTGATCCAGCTTTCCCGCCTTCGAGGGCGGCCAGAACCTTGTGCCCCGTCCCAACCACGCTAGCTGGGGCTGAGAGAAGCTCTCAGGGAATCACTGGGTCCTACAAGGCCGGCTTTGGTGGACTCCTGCGTTGGCGGGAAAAGTTGACATTCATTGCGTGCTAGGACGCAAGGCTTGCAGGGCATGCTGGGATACCACCGGGGATGCTGGGAGAGCGCAGGGCACGCTGGGAGAACACAGGGCACGCTGGGAGAGCACGGGACACGCTGAGAGAGCGCAGGGCACGCTGGGAGAGCGCAGGGCACGCTGGGAGAGGCAGGGCACGCTGGGAGAGCACGGGGCACGCTGGGAGAGCACGGGACACGCCGAGATTGTCTCCTGAGGGCCGCGAGGAGGGTGCGAGGGACACGTTGAGGAAGGTGGGGCACGCTGGGCAAGCTGGGAGCCAGGGGCGTTTCCCGAGGGCCGCGAGGAGGGAGTTGCCGCACGCGGGTTCTCAGTCGATGCCCCGCGGAGGCCAGGAGGCTTGGCCTGGGGCCGCAGCTGCTTGGAGGAGGCCGAGTGGAAGCGAAGGAGGCCGCGGAGGCCCTGCCGCCCACCCGCCCTTTCCTCCGCCTGAGGAGAAGCCAGTGGGCGTTGGAAGCGTTGCCTTCCCAGTTGTCAGGCGGTTTTCCCGATTCTCTTCCACACGCTTGGGGAGGCGCAGGTCAGGGCTGTTCTGAGCGCGGGATCCCAGTACCTGTGCCCTGAGGGCGTTGGTTTGGATCACGAAAAAAATGTCTTCATCTCCAAAGACCCATGAGCCCCAGTTGTTCTGGCATTTTATGTACTGGAAGTTTATAGAATCACCTTTTAAAACGGATTTAGCAGAACAAAGACCTTAGATTCGTTTCCACTCATGTCCGTGACTGTGGACACAGCCAGGCCGGGAGAGGGTGGGCGCTTGCCTGGGGGCCGCCCTGAACCCCGCGCCCAGGCTGATTTTTAGGAAGGGTCCCGTGGGCAGAGGCCAGTGGGGCTCCCGATGGGGCCACGGTCCCAAGGCTTCGCGCCGCACTGCACGCGCCGGGCGCTCCCAGGGCGTGGTCCTTGGGGGTTCTGCGAGTCCTCGCGTGCGGAATTGTGTGGGTTCCCGTTGTGCGCTCCTAGCACTTGTTCCTTGCCCTGCTGGGGATTCGGAACAAGGATGAAATCCCGGGACAGGAACGTAGTGCAGCGACCCTCTGGACAGGATGTTCATAGCGCATCCGTAGATGTTAACAAGGCTTGGCCAGGCTTTGAGCTTCACAATATACTTCTTTACAGCCTAGCCAAAGAAAACTACACCCTTTTTGAATCTGAAAATTTTGCTAACTAGGAACTCACAAAATTAAAAAATAGTAGTGATTCTAATAAATCCATGCTTATCCCTGATCAGATCACTCTTGTTTACATACAATTTTCCAATCCGTGAGTATTTGAAGATCGGCAAAACGGGAGGACTTGCACCCAGGAACTTTTCAGTGACCCGGAATTTACCTTTCTACTATAATTTAAAGGAAAAATGAAATCGGCTGGGTGCAGTGGCTCACGCCTGTAATCCCAGCACTTTGGGAGGCAGAGGTGGGTGGATTGTTTGAGCCCAGGAGTTCAAACCAGCCTGACCAACATGGCAAAATCCCGTCTCTACTAAAACACAAATATTAGCCGTGTGTGGGGGCACACACCTGTAATCCCAGCTGCTCTGGAGGCTGAGGCATGAGAACCTCTTGAACCCCGGAGGCGGAGGTTGCAATGAGCCAAGATAGCGTTCACTGCACTCCAGCCAGGGTGACCGAGCAAAACTTGGTCTCAAAAAGCAAAAGAAAAAGAAAGTAATTTTAGTTGGAAATGTGTGTTAGAAATGAAGGTAACAGCCCACAAACTTTCACCCACGTCTTTGTCCTATTTTCTTTAAAATATGTATTTGTCCTGAGCCAACCATAATCAGCCTTTTGCCATATATTTTACCCTGATCATTATTGATGCTATCTACTAGAAAACTTCAGGTGAAGAGAATTAAAAGTGTGAAGTCAGCAGTGTTTACCTTGGAACTTGGTACCTTTTTTTTTTTTTTTTCACTTTTCAAAACGTAGAATAAGAAAGGGAGTATTTTTATTTTTCATGAAACCAGGAATCATCTTAATTCATCAACATCTCGTATGAATTTGTGTTAACCATTTTAAGAGTACTTCCATTTTTAAAAGAACCATCTTGTTCTCTCATGATGAAAATTTCAAACGCTGTGATGCTAGAATGAGGAAGATATGTTGGAGCCAAAGGGCATTACCAGTGTTCCTCAGATGACACCACAAACTCATTTCAGTGATTAGAAGGCTACTCACACTGCACATTCCTGGGCCAGTATGTTATTCCTTCTTAAAAAGAAAAAACATATTGATGTTGAAAAGTTGGAAGTAACTAGAGTCCAGCTTACTTTTCCCCCATGTGTTTGTACATGCTAGAGTACTGAAGGTTCCCTAGGTTGCTTTGCTTTTATATTCCAGTTTTCATTTCTGTAGTAAAACATAATGTAGACTTCAAAGGTATACCTTGTGAATTATCAACTGTGCACTGTGCCTCCAATAGAATTTTAAAGCTGGGTAACTTAGTGGAAACAAAAACTACACAACAATTTAGAGATTTCAGTGAACACTTTCTTTTGTGTACAATGAAAAATGATATATTCCTCAACCTTGAAGTGCTTTACAGAAAAATCTGAAACAACAGAAGACTTTGCTATACACTTTGACTTTTAAAAAATAATAATAATGTTATTTCGATTTTCAAGATAGAGTTTTGCTCTTGTTGCCCAGGCTGCAGTGCGATGGCATGATCTCAGCTCACTGCAACCTCCGCCTCCTGAGTTCAAGTGATTCTCCTGCCTCAGCCTCCTTAGTAGCTGGGATTACAGGCATGTGCCACCATGCCCCGCTAGTTTTGTATTTTTAGTAGAGACGGGGTTTCTCCATGTTGGTCTGGCTGGTCTTGACCTCAGTTGATCTGCCCACCTTGGCCTACCAAAGTGCTGGGATTACAGACGTAAGTCACTACACCCAGCCAAAAAATAATTATTTTATAGAAAAGGGAGTGATGAAAATATTCTAAAATGTATTGCAGTGATGGTTGCACAACTCTGAATACAGTAAAAAACAGTGGATTGTACATATTAAATGGGTTTTATGTTATGTGAACTGTATCTTGGTAAAACTTGTACCCAAAATCGTAGAAAATCATTGGAAGATCTTAAAGGTAAATAGCAGTGATACATAACTGCTGAAGTTTGCAAACTAACTTGTTTCTATGATTCTACTCTAACACAGTATCAAATATTGTTTGCTGACTTGGTATTAGAACTCTATTGGTAAGATAATTTACTACCTTTTTTTTTTTTTTTTGCTGTTTAGTTTTAAAGGTCTGATTTCTGAGACAGTCAAGAGGAAAATATGAATAATTCTAGGCAGCAGTCTCTGTTCTTCATCACACTTCCAGATTTAAACAAACTCTGTGCCGTCCGAATAATACTGAGTAATAAAATGGCAGATACTGAGATTAGGACTACACAAATGAAGATGTGCAGGTAAAAAATATATCTTATAACTAAGACTTTTAAAACTTAAGACCTATAAAAGCTGTCTTAGAGGAATTTTCTATACAGCAAAATACTCACTCAATTTGTGTTTATAATTTTAAAATAAAGGCAGTCAATTTTGTTTTAACCAGGTATATTGGATTACATTTAAGGAGGGACTTAAAATACTTGCAATAGAATATCTCCCTCTTGAGTTTTTATATTTGTGACCTCTTACATGCTTTTTAAAAGTTTAAAATCTCCACAGACATTCATGAATTAAATCAGGCTCCCAAAAACTTAGAGATCCTAATTAATCCATATTTATGGAATACCTACTGTTTATGGGGCACTTAGAAATAATATAAACATTTTAGATTAGTATAGTTTCTTAATTCTCAAGTCAGTATGAGACACTGAGGAGTATTTCTCTAGGATCTGTCTCAAAATATCTGATCCCTCATAGTCTTTGAAAAACAGCTTAGAGGGCTGGGCGCAGTGGCTCATGCCTGTAATCCCAGCACTTTGGAAGGCCAAGGCAGGCAGATCATGAGGTCAGGAGTTCGAGACCAGCCTGGCCAACATGGTGAAACCCTGTCTACTAAAAATACAAAAAATTAGCCAGGCATGGTGGCAGGCGCCTGTAATCCCAGCTAGTCGGAAGGCTGAGGCAGGAGAATCGCTTGAACCTGGGAGTTGGAGGTTGCAGTGAGCCGAGACTGTGCCACTGTACTCCAGCCTGGGCAACAGAGCAAGATGCCATCTCAAAAAAAGAAAAAAAGAAAAAAGAAAGAAAAACAGCTTAGAGAAGCCTAAAGTATAATTCCATGATTCTGTGATTAAATTGTTTGAGGCACTCAAAGGAAGAGTCATAGAATACATGAGAAGATTATGTATTTAAATGGACTACTTAGAGAAGAACAAACAACTAGAAGATGGCCAGGGGCAAGGAATAAGAAAGCCACTTTTGGGATGTCCTTCATTTTCCTCTTATTTACAAAGTTTTTCTTTTCCCCATTGCATATCTTCCCACCCAAGGGCATCACCCTTCCTGCTAAAGTATAATTTGATACCTATTAAGGACAATCTGTGACTCCTTTTGGAAATACTAAACTAGGTGGAAAACCTAAAGTGAGGTTTTTCTTCTGTTTGCCCTCAAATTGAAGGTGGCCATGCCCACAGAGTGGGGTTATCTTAACTCACCCTCCCAGTAATTGACAGCCAGTCTTGAATAAAGAGAGCAGAGCCCTCTCTGTTAACATCTGGCTGTGTCAGATAACGGCAGGCCTTGCCAAAGCAAGTACCTGATCCACCTGGGTTCCAACAAATATGAAGCCACCAGAAACAGATTGGCCCATGTTGCTTTTTAAAGTAACCCCATACACATCCTAATGGTTATTTTGTTTCTTTGATGATTAGTACCATTGAAGGTTTTCAGATTTCCAATTGTATTCTTTGTGTGTTTTTCCTATCTTTCCCTTGAACCTTGAAATTTAATTATTAATGGTAATTTGATTGTGATGATGTTTGTTGTTCATTTGGCTGTTGAAACCACTACCCAGTTCTTTCTGGCTTGGGAAGAATTTCCTTTTTGAAGGAAAAGAATTTAGTCAGTGGTTCTATATATTTAAGTGGTTGATAACTTCACTGACAGGTGAATCCTTAGACTTTTGCCTCTAGTTCCCCCTACCCACCCCGCCCTTTTTTTTTAACAAGGAAAAACGGAAGAAATAGGAGTTAAAAGAGAGATTCTTTACAAGGAAAAATGGAAGAAATAGGAGTTAAAAGAGAGAGTGTTTAGATGTCTTCAAGTATATAGGGCAAAAATTGAATTCTAAAATATTAGATTAACAGATGAAAGAGGTTGGGAAATTTAGATGCAGGGACAAGGTCTCATATTAGTATTAGTATCTAAAACTTCCTAATTATTTTAATTCAAATATTGGCTGCGTACCTAAACCTACACTGTTCAAGGTGCTATGCTAAGTATGGGGAAAGAAAGTCTCTAACACGATTGTTGCCTAGGAGAAACTTAACATTTTAACTAACCAAATGTTTAAAATGTTCCAATAAAGTAAAAACCGACAGTGAGTACATTTGTCTGTTTTGACACTATAAAGAATTACCTGAGACTGGATAATTTATGAAGAAAGGAGGTTTAATAGACTCACAGTTCCATAAGCTTAACAGGAAGCATGGCTGGAGAACTCAGGAAACTTACATTCATGGCGGAAGTCTGAAGGAGAAGCAAGCACCTTCTTCTAATGGCAGCAAGAGAGAGAGTTGAGGGTAGGAAGTGCTACATACTTTTAAACAAGATCTGATCAGAACTCACTACCACAAGAATAGCAGAGGGTAAATCCACCCCCATGATCCAATCACCTCCTGTCAGTTATCTCCTCCAACACTGGGGATTATAATTCAACATGAGATTTGGGTGGGAACATAGAACCAAACCATCCATATCCGTGAGCAAGTTCACTTTGTAATATATTTCATCTCCACAGGCAGTTGCTGTTTTTGCATGAAGATATTCTTACATCACCTGTGTCTGGAATATTAAACCAAATTTGGGTGGTGATGTCGGTTAGTATTTTAACATTTTTTTGAAATATTACTAGTTGAGAACAATGTTGACAAATAATAATTTAGGTATGATAGCTAAAGTTGTTTATGAGGATTAATTGATTAATCACAATGTGTTACAGGTTAATTGGATTATTGACTAACATTGATATGCCTGATGTTTAAAATCCATTTTTGTGGTTCTAATTTAACATTTATTTTTCTCATTATTAATGCTAAGATAAAGACTAGTGATTAATAAAACATGCTACAATATGATTTTTAAAATAGCATGGGCTTGATACATTTTATCATATTTTATTTAGACTAAAAGGAAAAAGTTTGACGTTTCAATGAATCTCCTCCTGTTTTTAAAGAACTTGAATCAACGTTTCTTCTAATAGAACATTTTATTTAAAAATATTTTTACACTTAAAAATTTAAAATTAGTATTAGAAACATTTCCCAATTCTATATGTAACTGGGAATATAATGAAGTGCCAAAAATCTTTTGAAAAAAATATATTATCCTGAGATTTTCATCAACAATCTTTCTGGAAACTCTGTTTCTCTGATATTTTAATTCCCCAGAATCCAGTGAAATCAACATTTATTAACAATGCTGACAAATAATCTAAAAGTTCTTTTATTTTTCTCCTGGGTCTAGGTTATATGTCCATCTTGTCTTTTTTTTTCTTTTCTTTTTTCTTTTATTTTCTCCTCTCCTCTCCCTCCCTGTCTCCCTCTCCCTTTCTCTCTCCTTCTTTCCATCTTTCATTCCTTCCTCCCTCCCTTCCTCTCTCCTTCTTTCCTTCTTTCATTCCTTCCTCCCTCCCTTCCTCAATTTTTTCCACTCTCCCTCCCTCCCTCTATTTTATATATTATTTTATTTTATTCTTTTAGATAGGGTCTGACTCTGTTTCCCTGGCTGGAATGCAGTTGCTCCATCTTGACTTACTGCAACTTCCACCTCCCAGGCTGAAGCAATCCTCCTATATCAGCCTCTCAAGTATCTGGGACTGCAGGTGCACACCACCATGCCCAGTTAATTTTTTTGTATTTTTTGTAGAGAGAGGGTTTCACTGTGTTTCCTGGGCTGGTCTTGAACTCCTGAGCTCAAGCAATCCTCCTTGGCCTCTCAAAGTGCTTGGATTACAGGCGTGAGCCACATGCACAGCCATATTTTCTTAATATAGTTTTTGTTAAAGACAAGCTTTTGGTGAACAAGGAAATTAATATCTCTTATTTGTATCTTTTTCTACCCGAATATCTTTATGGAGCAACGACATTATTTTAGAGTACTAGTAAATTCAAGTATGTGAATTTTAGCAAGGGTGATAAGAGGAAAGTAGCTATCTGTTTTTTAAAAATGTATTGCTTTCTTACAAAGGTATTCTGTAAAAAAAATGATGTTTAAAGTAGAAAATGGGATTACATACATACTATTTTGAAACTTGCCATTCATTTCCCCTTAAACAACCTTTCCTGGATATCTTTCCATGTCAGTATATGTATCTTCCTTATTTTTAAGGCTGAGAAATATTTCATTGTATGGATATATAGTAATTTACTTAATACTTTCCAGTGCACATCTGAGTTTGTGCTGTTACAGTGTTTCAGAAAGCATCATTGAAATTGTATCACTTATTTGTCTGATAGTTTCTGTCTGTTACATTTTTAGAGGTAGATTGTAATACACTTTAAACTATAATATAGATACTGCTAAATTGCTGTCTCAAAAGCTTTTTGCTGGACTGCATGTTACCAAAGGGTCTGGGAGAAAACCTATTTTCCCATACCCTCATGAACACTGTAGATATTCACGACTTTAAATAATTGTCAGTCTGTTAGGTTACAAATAATATTTTCCTTTAATTTGTATTCCTTTTATTAATGAGTTGGAGCACTTAGGCCTTTTGAACATGGTCTTCCATTTATGTCCATTTTCCTTATGTATGCCTAGGAGTTCTATGTTAAGAAAGGTGTTAAATATTTATTTACAAAATTTATTGGCCTTTTCCTTTATATAAATAATGGGGTCATGCCACTCCCAGAAAGGCTTTCCTCACTTTGAAAATGTGCCCACAGATTCCAGTTCAGGGAGAGAATGATCATCACTTCTGCAAGGCACAGAGGCTAATTAGATGATGGCCTGATTCTTTGCCCTCTGCAGAATAATGCCTAAAATCTTTCCTTGTTGCATTATTTAATTACATACTTATGTTAAGTCCTTTTTATAAATGTGGACTTTTGTTACAGATACCATTTTATAGAGCAAGAAAACTTAATGCCTATGTTGAAAAATATGGAGCTAAGGTAAGTGTTAAAAGTGATATTAATAGCATATGTTGTTAATATTGATAATGTATTTAACCCCTTTTGTAAACAAACAAAAACTGGAGAATCTTTCTCATATATATTGTTATGTGTGTGAAAGAACCCAACAAATTTTTTCCAATAATTATTATGTGCACATTTAATTTTTAAAATTAATTTGGTATTATACAAATACAGATATTCTCTTGGTTTCATGTGTGCCCATGTAAGTATGTATTTTCTGGAGTTGTGGCAGACCAGGTCTCCCTAACCCAGGCCTCCATTACAACTGTCCCAGCACTGACTGAGTAGCAAGGTTAAACTTTAAAAGCTAGTTGAGCCTGTGCCCTTTTACAAAGGCTGGAATGTAACAAAGACCCCACCAAGAGTTTTGCCTAGGCTTTTCCTGGGCCTTGAAGCATGACAAGATAATGAAGGAATTCTTAACAGGACTCTTTTAGGATGAAACAAGTTTTATCGGGAGTCGGAAGAAACTCCCCAGGCCTCCACAAACAAATTTATTGGGGTCTAAAGGAACTCCCCAAACCTTTATGATTTAGCAGGAGACAAGATACAGGTAATCGCCCCAGCACCTAGACCCATTTAGATTAAGTAAACTTACTGAGGCTCCAAAAGAAGGTCTTCATGACTCAGACCTTAGTTATAGATTAAAAGAAATTAACTACTTATGTCTTTAGATAAATGCAGACTTACACGTAGACATGTAGCTTAGAAGGTATATAACCTCTGGAAAACTTTGTAATTTTGAGTTGGTCTGGTAATAACTTCCAGGCCTTCTGCCTGTAACCAGTTGCAGAAAATAAAAACTCTCTTTCTTTCCAGTTCATCTGCACCTTGTTATTGGGTCACAAGAAATAGCATCCTGACCCTCAGTTTGGCCTGGGAACAGAGTGAACAGTAATGACTATTGCAAGTTTGTTCTCATTTGGATTTGTCTGTGTAGAGCAGAATATGAAGTAATGATCAAGGGTTTTAACACAGAACTCCCAAGATTTAGACTTATTGGCCAAGGTAAGCAGGTAGTATTTGGCCGTGAAAGCATGACAATAGTAGTGGTTTTGAAGTGATATATTTTAACACTTCTTTAACTTTAGAACCAGATATGATTAGCTCGAGCAATGACTACATCTTTATGTGGAATAGCCCAATTTGTTGGATGGTGATCTAAATGAGCAGTCATTTCCTATTAATATACGCACACAGCTGTTGCTCTAAACTTGCCCATATTTTGCCGTTTAATATTTTTAGATGGAGATCCCACAAAGAGTAATTCCTGTAATTCTTCAGAACTGCCTTTCATATTCATTCACGGCTAGACTTGCTCCAGCCTGGAATAGAACTGGCCATCTATTGATACAAGGTAACTTTATCATTTTAGTCATTGGGGATTTCTGAACTAGATTACTTCTATTATGTGTGTATTAGTCTGTTCTCATGCTGCTAATACAGACATACTGGAGACTGGGTAATTTATAAAGGAAAGAGGCTTAATGGATTCACAATTCCACATAGCTGGGGAGGCCTCACAGTCATGGCAAAAGATGAAGGAAGTGCAAAGGGACATCTTACATGGCAGCAGGCAAAAGACCATGTTCATGAGAACTCCCCTTTATAAAACCAGCAGATCTCATGAGGCTTATTCACTATCACAAAAACAGCACAGGAAAGCCACACCCCCATGATTCAGTTACCTCCTACTGGGTCCCTCTCACAACATGTGGGAATTATGGGAGCTACAATTCGAGATTCAGGTGGGGACACAGCCAAACCATATCAATGTGCATCTGTCCTTAATTTTAAGATATATAACTTTTAGAGAATAATTCTTGAAACTGACCCACCTAAGCAATCTCAAGCAAGCCCACAACAACATAAATGTCATTTCTTTACTTTGGGATTATATACACACTCCTGCTGATGTTTCTTTAAAAAATTATTATATAATACTTGATACTTAGGAATAAATATAAATTATGAAGCAGTATGATAAAATGAACACAATACTGTTAAAACTGAGAAGCTATCCTGAATTTTTGTTGAAGTCTGATTGTTTTCTAAATATAGCAGGAAATAGATACTTAGGGGAAGAATTGGATGTTTCCGTCCTTTTAATTGAAGAGATACTTTTTGAATGATTATATTTTTTCTCTGAGCTGTCATCAGATATTCCTTTATATAACAATTGTGTTTTAAAGTATTTTCTTTAGCTTTGATAATTTCACATCAAGCATAGTTATAAATATCAAACATAATTATTTATGAGTTGTAGTAATATGGCATATTCTATGAATTTTTTTTAAGGAAGAGATTTTCTTTCTCAGATGGGAAAACAAAGTGCTGTTGGTGAGTAAAAATGCATAAGTCAATAGATAATATAATTCATAGTTTTTAAAGAAAACAGTATCATATGCTGGGCATGGTGGTGCACGCCTGTAATCCCAACACTTTGGGAGACTGAGGTAGGTAGATTGCTTGAGCCACAAGTTGAAGACCAGCTTGGGCAACATGATGAGACTCCATCTCTACAAAAAAATTTTTTTAAGTTAGCCAGGTATGATGGCACATGCCTGTAGTCCCAGCTACTTAGGAGACGGAGGTGGAGGGCCACTTGAGTTCAGGCTGCATGCAGTAAGCCATGATTGCGCCACTGCACTACTCCAGCCTAGATGACAGAGCAAGACCCTATTTCAAAAAAAAAAAAAAAGAATAAAAATAACTAAATCATTGGGTTGTTATAATTATTGATTAATTAGGAATTAGGTTGTATAATACCTTAATCAGATATTATTGTAATCAGAATTTCACCTGGGAAATCACTTCTTGTTCAAAATGTACATTCTAGACTATATGAGAAAAATTCATCTTAATTGGAAAAAGCCATGTTTTTATTTTCTCTACTTCAAGAAAATCATGACCATGAAGGAGTTTAATTCTGCAGGTGTTTATATGTATAGTTTCCAGAATCATGTATCATCAAAAATTCTTTAGTACTGATGTAAGTCAAAGCTTTATTTATTATAAGAATAGGATTATTTTTCTCCTTAAAAAATTGTAAAAAGAGACACAGATGATCTAAAGTATACAGTTTAGTATATGGCTTAATCTAGTTCTTTCATTGATTTGCATGGTTATATTTCAGATAGACACTTCCCTAAACAGTAGTCCAGAGATAGCAGATAGATGAGAATCCTGAGCCACCACCACTACATTAATAATGTAGACATTATTAATCAATCATGATAGCGTTTCATATCATTTGGGCATAGCCTTAAAATCCTGAGCTGTAATCTAAAACTGTTAGATCTGAGTTGACTTTCTAGCTGAAGCCTGTTTGCTCTCCTTGCACTAGTTTTATGTTTAAGTTGTATAGTATCAGTCAGTGTGCCCTAGCTCTAGGTGAATGGGTTCATTACCTACATCTAGTTTCATCATCAAACACTGTCATGAGACTATAGCTGTAGGGATTAAAAATAACAGTTTAGAAGAGGAAAATTCCTCACTCCTGTGTTAGGATTTTTTTTTTAACTTTTACTGAAATTAATACACTATGACAAATTTTAAGTGTATAGCTCATTTAATTTTAACAAACTAAACATATTCTTGTAACCATTCTCAGATTGAGAAACAACATTAAGAGTACCCCAGAACCCGCCTCATGTTTTTTTCATGTACTAACCCTTCCCAAAGTCAACACCATCCTGACATTTCAGAATTAGTTTTCTTTATGAAAAAGAAAGGCAAAGACTTCAAGGCTCTAGGAGTTCTGGAATCTGCCAGTATATTTGAAGATATTTGTTAGTAAAAGACTACTCAAATCAGAAACGTGGTGTGATACCTCTTTAGATTACAGAAGAGGACAATCTCTTTATTTTTATATATAGGTCAGATTTGTATAAGGTATTTCTTGGATTTTCCTCTTAACTGTGGGGTGTCTCATTTTTCTTGTTGTAACCTTGCCTGTGACCTGCACCCCACACACATTCATGCTGTTTCATACCTTTGTCCTCTTTTAGATGTCTCATCTCTAAACTGCCAAATATTAAGTGGTTATTATTTGAATTTTACCATGTATGGAAAAAAATCTGTTCTTGTTTTTGACTTGAATAAGTTTCTTTTGTTTCTAAAATACTTAATTTAGTAGTTTGGAGTAATAATTCCAATTAGCTCACAGTTAAATGTTTTATTTTCAGTATTAAACATCAACGTAACAGAAACTCAAGTTTGTCTAAGTATAGAAGCTTGCACAATCAGACTACCACCACCTGAGGTACCACATATTGTGATTTATATACTTTACTGTATTTGCTATATACTTTTTATGTTTGTTATTGTTACTAATATGGATTAGGTTTTAATTTTTAACATGAAGGGTGGTAGGGAGGTTTTTATTATCAAAATCTGTATTATTAAATGCTTGATATATTTATATTGTTCTAAATCTGCTTCCCCAAAGAAAATATTATTCTGTCCATTTAACACAGGTCTTCACATTATTCCTTTGTTTAAAACTTTTTTAAGGTGCTGAGACTCTCTACAACCTATTCTGTCTTAACACCCACTTCATGCCTCTTATTTACCTCCAAATGTAAAAAGAATGATTTCAGCTCATTAATTTCATATTAATTCCCCTGCCCTTGACGTTCTGGTGGAATTTTTTTGCATCTGTTTTTTACACATAACACTTTCTGTCTTCTTAGTAGAAGGATATGTCTTTTATTTTGTCAATTCCATAGCACCTAGCATAGAACCTTATGTGCTAGTGTCATTCAATGTTATTTTCTTTCCTCTAGGCCAGTAGTTCTCAATGGAAGCAATTGAGGGCAGGGAAATGAATGATTGGCTCCTTATGAGAAATAATTATGTCTAATTTTGGCTGTCACAATGGGAGAAGGATGGTGTTGCTACTGGTATCTAGTGGGTAGAGGCCAGAGAAGGGATACTACTGCATATCCTTCCCTGCACAGGACAGTAATCTTATCCCCACCCACAGAATTATTCGTCAATAGTGGTGAGGTTGAGAAACCCCAGGCATAGGACAAATGACCCTTCCTTTGCTTAGAATGCCCCTCTGATTGGCTGTACACATTCTGCTCATGTTTTAAAGCCCAGCTCAAATGCTACTCCTCCATTTATTTCCATTTAATTTTTTGATTACCTCTTATGTGGATAAGTAACAAAGGACAATTGATAAGTCAAAGATGAATAGGATCTACTTTTCTGCCCTGGAGAATGATATAAGCCAGTAGGGAAGTTGACCTGCATATAAATAACTGGAATGGGTAACATGACATGTATATCTTGGACTGATGAGGAGCCTTCCCAAGGTTCCATATCCTGTGTGATTGCCCACCCTCATTTAAACCCTCATACTCTCCTGTACCATACTGTCATTGTTTTCTGTCACTTAGAATATCTGAAATTGGGTAATTTGTAAAGAAAATGAATTCATTTATTACACTTATAGAGACTAAAATGTCCAAGGCCAAGGGGCCATATCTGGTGAGGACCTTCTTGCTGTTGCAGACTCTGTTGAGTCCTGAGGTGGCGCACGGCATCACATAGCAAGAGGGCTGGGTGTGGAAGCTGAGATTTGTCTTCCTCTTATAAAGCTACCAGTCCTACTCCCAAGACAAACCATTAATTCATTAACCTTCTAATCCACTAATCCATGAATGGATTAATCCATTCATGAGGGCAAATCCCTCATGACCCAATCACCTGTTAAATGCTTCACATCGCCGGATGCTGTGGCTATAATCCCAACACTTTGGAAGGCCAAGGCAGGCAAATCACGAGGTCAGGAGTTCAAGACCAGCCTGGCCAATATGGTGAACCCCATCTCTACTAAAAATACAAAAATTAGCTGGGCATGGTGGCACATTCCTGTAATCCCAGCTACTCTGGAGGCTGAGGCAGGAGAATTGCTTGAACCAGGACCTGGAAGGCAGAGGTTGCAGTGAGCCAAGATTGTACCTCTACACTCCAGCGTGGGCTACAGAGTGAGACTCCATCTCAAAAAAAAAAAAGAAGAAAAAGAAGAAAAAGAAAAAGAAAAAAAAAGTCCCATATCTTAATACTGTCACATTGTGGATTAAATTTCAAAATTAGTTTTGGAGGGGACACATATTCAAATGGTATTTATACTGACATACTTATTTCTATTTTTATAATTATACTAAGTTTATACCTCTGATTTCCTTTGAAGAAGCATCATGAAGACTAATATTGTGACTTACTGACCTTTGAATTTTCTAGAGATGATACTTCGGTATTCTACACCTGAGTTTGAACCAAATTATAGATTGACAGAGGAGTAAGACATAAATAGAGATCAGAATGTCACCTTTATTACTAGAGTGAGATTATAATTTATCCTCAAAACAGGATGCTTCTGAGAGTGAAAGGGACACTAACCTGATGGGATGCTGGCCCCACATGCACAAACTGGAATATAGAGTCATGCTGTTCATTACTGGAAAGGAAAAACAGCTCTTGGAGGACATGGCTTATCTGAACCTTAGAGTGATGCAGACTTATCCACCCTCTTATTGCAGTATTGGAAAAACCACAGGCCTCTCTTGGGAGACCAGGCACTGGTTCTGATATGTCAAAGAGAGTGCCTAACACCACTCTCTGCCATCAGGCCAGCTCCCAAGAGGAAGGGGAGGAGGTGAGCCAGCATGCCTGGTTATTCATCCCAATTTTACCTTCTGTATTAGTCCATTCTCATGCTGCTATGAAGAAATACCCCAAACTGGGTAATTTATAAAGGAAAGAGGTTTAATTGACTCACAGTTCCTCATGGCTGGGAAGGCCTCTGGAAACTTACAGTCATGGTGGGAGAAAAGTGCCCAGCAAAGGGGGAAAAGCCCTTTATAAAACCATCAGATATTGCAAGAACTCACTATCACAAGAACAGCATGAGGGTAACTGCCCTCATGAATAAATTAACTTCCACTGGGTCCCTCCTATAACATGGATGGGATTATGGAAACTACAGTTCAAGATGAGATTTGGGTGGCAGTGCAGCCAAACCATGTCACCATCCATCTGCTCTAGGGAAGAATGAATGATGGAGCAGAGTGATTCCAGGAATATGTGTTAATAGAGCTTTCTGGGCATGGAAGGAAACATCAAAAATGGGGCAGACACATTCCTCTCCTCTATTCAACATTATGCACTCAACATGCACTTGTTAAATTAAATCAATTCTCTAAATTATGATTGTTCATCAGTTTCTCTGAGTCTCACTTTTGCTTATGTTTTTTATATGGCATCTTACATATTCTGACTGCTATAAAAATTAGTTTCATATATACCTATGTTCCCACTAAACTGTAATCTTTTGGAGATTCTGTGTACTGTCTTATTCAATTTTTATTCCCCATGGAGCCTAAAAGATAATTGCATTTAATTTTCCTTTTATTAAAATCTGGCATTGGTTAACATAACCAAAAAGTTATACCAGATTTAAATAAAAGTCATTTAAAATGACTCAGGTTTATTTTGCCAAGGTTGATGACATGCCCAGGGAAAAGAAACACAAGTTACAACAGGATCTGTGCCCTGTGCTTTCTCCAAAGAGGGTTTTGAGGACTTCAGTATTTAAAGGGAAAAGAAAAAGCAGAAGGGGAAAGAGGAAGGGGAAAAAGGAGGAGGGTAGACAATGAGGCAAGTAAGTGAATCTACATTATACACATGAAAAGAGGGGTAGAGGAAAGGCCAGTTATGCATTTCTGTCACCCAGTAAATCTACATTTACAGTAATAATCTGAACTAAGCTATCTGGGAACAAAAGGAAGGCAGGGTTTTTTCATTTGTTTTTTGTTTCTGTGTGAGTCACTTCCCAAGCTTAATGTTTCCTTTGGCATAGTAAGTTTGGGGTTCTGAGATTCTGGTTACTTTCTTTCATAGTTATTAAGTCAGGTTGGCGGAGGGGATTAAGGGTGAAGAGGTGAGAAGGAGGATGTTTCTGGTTTCTCTTTCCTCCAGTTTTTTGTTTGCTTTCATTCCTTTTTTCAAAAATTTGCCATGGTCTCCATTGACTATAAGACGCAATCTCAGCTGTTTACCATGACACACAAGGTTTTCAGCAAGCTGATTCAAACTCACCTTACCTACAGCGTCACCTCCCATTACTGCTCTCCAGGCAGCCAAACTATGAATCATTTCCGAAAGATGGTTTGGTCTTTCATCCCTCCATATCCTTGCTCACACTGTTGTCTAAGCCTGTCATTCCCTTTCTCCTGCTCATCTTTCAAGGCTTATCTCAGACATCACCCCTCTGAGGAATTCCCCAGCTCCCAAGTCTCATCTCTGTTGGTGCTCCCCTGCCATGTTTATCACATGCTATCTATGCAAATATCTCATTAAACTGAGAAGTCCTGGAGGAAAGGGTCTGTGTCTTATTAATCTTTCTATCACAGGAGCCTACCTTAGTGCCTGCCACACACTTTCGTAAACATTTATGGAATGAATGGAGCATTAACTGGAGTGAAAGACTAATTTATTTTTTGAAATAGGTGACTTTTGTTTCTAAATTCTTTTTAATTCCTTTGGGCTAGAGATTGGAGTACTTTATAAAATCCTGACTTTTGATCCTATTTAGACAAATTTTAAAGCAGATTTCAGCCTTATCTTTACAATTTAGAGATCAAAAAATTTAAGAGGTAATTGAAACAGTAATTTACTCATTTCTTAAATTTTAGACTATGTTAAACTTTAAAATAATACTTTCCTGAAAGTAATTAAATGTTTTGAAGGGAATTTAAACGCACAAATTGCCATTTTACTGTTTGGTGCATTGAGATTATAATTGAATCCACAGTTACATAAGGGATATATTTCAGAAAAGCATTATGTAACCTTAAACTATTTGTCTTGAAATATAATTATATGGAAAATTTGGGAGACGAGTGCCTCGAAACAAATTTCTATTTATTTCATAGATAGATATTTATTGGGTACTATTATGTATATGTGCCAAGCGCTGATGGAAAACATTTTTTTCTCCCAGAATTTTTTGTCTAGGTCAGAAGAAAGAAGAGCATGCACACATAAAACTTACCAGAAGAAGGGAACATTTACTGAGGACTAGTTAATATTCACATACCCAGAAAATTCAGTGTAGGCTTAGAATCACATTAAAGCTCTCAGATCTGTACTAACAAACAGTGCTTCTTTGGTATGTTACTTACTCTTGCAGAATCTCCATTTTTCTTATAAATTGGAAATAATGATATCTACCATCTAGGGTTATAAGGAGGGTAGTGGAGTAAAGTACATTAAGGGCTTAGCATACTACTGACACCGAATAGAGGTTCAAAAATAATAGCTATTGTTATTATTTTATAGGTAAGTAAATTAAGACACAAAGCAGTTAAATAAGTCGCTCTGGGTCGTAAAGGTAGTAAGTAAGAGGTTCAGGATTTGAGTTTGTCCTTCGACTCTGTTCTTTCTACTATATCATGCTTCCTTCACCTAGCCTTAGGTTTTTTGCTTCAAATTTGCATGTCCCATAGAGCCTTACAGAAATAGATACCTAATATATGTTGAATAAAAATACAATTAAAAATGTTTGGTAATGGAGTATCAAAATTAGTGTTATAGGAACTATGTTACTTTAGTAATTAAAAGAAAAAGAAAATGTCTGAGGGAATCATACGTGAAATCTTTGGAATATTTATACTATTTTTCACCCTTTTCTTGAAATAATTTCCTTTCTTGATTTCTCTGAAACTGATTTTTCTAGAATCTCCTGGAATTCATTGGTGGTTCTTCATTCATTTATCATTTTAAATGTTGCTGTTTCTTAGGGTTCCATTTTCGGCCCTGTTTTCCTGAGTAGGCTCAACCATTTCAGTGGCTTCAGCCTATACAGCAGTACCTCCCAAATATTCTTGTGTAGTTGTAACACTTCTCCCCTCTCTTGGATACTTTCAAATGAATGTATTAATGGCAGTCAGACTCTCTTATGTCTAACACTAAATATATTTATTTGTCAACTTCCCCAGCCCCATATCTGTTCCTCCGGTGTAATTATTTTCATTAGTGGCATCAGCAGCCAATCATTTACCTACCTAAAGACTTCAGAGTCACCCTTGGCTTTTCCTCTTTCTCGTTTTCTCTTTCCAGTTAGTCTTTAATAGACAACTCTAGTCTCTTAAATTGACTCCTTTCTGTCTCCATTTCTGTTACTCTAATTCAGACTCCTTTTTTTTACTTGAACTATTAAACCAGTCTCCATATGGGCCTTGTTTCCGGTTTCTCTCCTTTAAGTTTTTTATTTTTTATTTTTATTTTTTCTTAAAGCCCTGGGAGGAACCTGGGGCCACAAGTGCATTCAAAGTGTCGATGATCAATGTGTCCTGCAATTCACATTAATTCTTGCAGCTAGCTGTGTTCTTCATCAAAGCACGAGCCAAGTGATCCACTGCAAGAGTTGTATCCTTCAAGTTTATTTAATTTTTCCTCACAGTGTCAAGAGAGTTCACTTTCTAAGACAAAGATCCCCAGCCTAAATGTCTTTAGTATTTCAGTATTGCCTAGAAAAAATTAAGTCCAAATTCTTTAGATTGGCATTTTAAGAAGAAAGTAATATTTATACTGCTTTTCAGTGTGGTTTTGGTCATAGAAGGGCACTTTATAAATATTTGCTAAATAAATAAATACAAAGGGTGAGCATTCGCAGTCTCTTGGGGTATATGGTGAACAGTTGGGTGGTTTGCCAGTCTTTAATCTGTGCTGAGAAAGATCAATGTAAACATTAAGTACTGGTACTATTGAGGTCCCTGCAGCATTTGACCTGAGTCTCTGAATACTGTAGAAAGTACCCAGAAGGATATATACTCAAGCTATATAAGTAAGTGTATGTGAGAACCCATAAACTTTAAACATTCGAACCTGATACCTACCTTCTATGAATTCAATTTTAAGTTCTGTTTTCTCTCAGTTTCTTCATCCCTCTGCAACCAGTCTTATTCATAACCATGCCTGCTCTAACCATGTTTTTATCACACAGTTCAGGCAACTGATCTCTTAAAGACAGTACATCACAGTGCAAGATTTATCTCTTGTGCACAGGAAAATATGTGTCCTTATTCATTCTGCATGTCCTTGCTCTTTTGCCTCACAACATAACTAGCTTATCTTATCTTCCTCTTCCTGCATTCATGTTTTCCTGCTCTTCCTTGTTCCTCTATTTCTGTTAGTCTTAATGAAAGCCATAGGAACTCAGAGAAGGATCAGTCACTGGATGTGGAGAAGATGGGTCTAGATCCAGACAATAGGACCTTATTGATAGGAGTCAGATAAATCAGAGTGGGGGCAATACTTTAAGCAACTATATTGTTAAAATGCTAATGAGTTGTCCAGGCAATAAAAGGTTGTCTAGTTTAGTTGGACTTCCTTGAAAAGTAGTAGGCAGTGAGGTTAGAACATTGTTTCCCAAAAGATGCTACGTGGTTGGTTAAAAATGGGGTAAGGGTTTATGAACCATTCTCTCTAATCTAAATATAGTGTCTTTTCGCCCAAAATTTGATACTTAATTTTTTCACCCTCCTTGAGGTCTCCCTGTGTCTTTGGCTAACTGTAACATTGCCTCTCAGGGAGATTTTCCAGGGTAAGAAAGCTGTAATCGGCAAACTTTTGTAGGTTAAATACAAACTAAAATGCCTTATAGGGAGGAAACTGAAGGAACAGGGAATAAAGTGTTCTAGGAGGCTGGGAGGGATATAAAAGGAGACTGAAGCACTGGCTCTTCTTTTCTCCTCCAAAAGACCAGATAGAAGTATAATTCCCTTAATCATTCTTCATTAAAAAAAAAAAAAAAATCGGCCGGGCGTCGTGGCTTACGCTTGTAATCCAAGCACTTTGGAGGCCAAGGCAGGCGGATCACCTGAGGTCAGGAGTTCAAGACCAGCCTTACCAACATGGTGAAACCCCATCTTTATAAATATATATATATACACACACATACATATATATATATATACACACACACATATATATATATATATACACACATACATATATATATATATACACACACACATATATATATATATATACACACATACATATATATATATACACACATATATATATATACACACACATACATATATATATACACACACACACATATATATATATATATATATAGAAGAAGAAGAAAAGAAAAAAAATCGAGGTTAAAAGCTATTACTTCAAAATATGAATACCTTACTTTGGAAGAGATTCAACTTCCTGCAAAATTAACATAATTAAAAAAAAAAGCCCTGAAAACCAGCTAAAATAACTACAAAATAGGAGTTTGGGCTTGGATGGTAAGATGGAAAGCATGAAATACTTTATATATTGTATAGAGGAGAAGCAGGGTGAGCTGCAACATTGATTACTTATGTAAAGTGGTTATACCTGATTCCATGTAACTTAAGTCTTTAAAAACTACTTTATAACCTACTGTGTATGTAACAGAAATGTATCTTTTAAAATGTCTTGTTTTTTGCTGAATTCTTTGAGGACTTACAAATCTTATTTCTATTAAAAGCTAGAAGAGTTTGAGATTTCCCAGAGGATTATAAAGGACTTTCATACTAACAAGCATGCTGTCATTAAGAGACATTCCATTTTAAGCAACTGGTGCTACGTTTTGCCGAGGTGAGATTTCAATTTGTAGTATCTAAGGTGGGTTCAAAATATAGTTTTCTCTTATTTGCTTTCTTAACATTGACATGTGCAAAAGTATAAACCATTTTGATGAATTTTAAAATACTGAATTATGACTTCACAAAGGCATTGAAACAATATTGTCATATTTACAAAAGTCATGAATTTTCTTTATCAAATTACTAATTGTATTACGTCTTCACATTTTGTTAGATCTAGCTTCAAAAAGGTAATATTTCTAGATTTCTCATTATAAAATGAAAACTGTCAAAATGATATTAATAAAACCTCATAAACTTTACCTAATAATTAATGATTCATTATAATTTGATATGAGCTGAGTTTTAAGTTTGTACTATCTTCAGGAAAAACTAATTTGTTACTAGTATAAGCAGGATTATTGGGATAAAGTTTTAACTTGCTTAGGAAAAAGAACTTTAGTAGCATACACATAATAATTCAATCATCGAAGCCGGGAGGAGGTCGATAGAAAACATGAGTTTAACTCTAATTCATTCAACTCCTAACAGACTTTTCCCTAAAGTCTAACAATTACCTGTAATATCTTTGGGTGGAAAAATGGTAGTCATTATTTTGTGTTTATAATTGGCACATTTTTTACAACAATCTAATTTAGTTTTTTCTAGTACTTCTAGTGGTTAAGATATAACACAAATAAAGGCCATATATGACAAACCCATAGCTGACATCATACTCAACAGTGAAAAATTGAAAGATTTTTTTCTTTAAGATTAGAAACAAGACAAGGATGCCCACTCTCTTCACTTCTGAACATAGTACTAGAAGTCCTAGCTAGAGCAGTTAGGCAAGAGAAAGAAATAAAAAACATCCAACTTGTAAAGGAAGAAGTTAAATTTTTGCTGTATGGAGGTGACATGAATTTATATATAGAAAATCCTAAGGACTCCACAAAAAAACTGTTAGAACTATTAAACAAATTTAGTAAAGTTGTAGGATACAAAATCAACACACAAAAAAGTAGCATTTCTATACACTAGCAACAAACTATCTGAAAAAGAAATCAATAAAAATAATTTTGTCCATAATAGCTACCAAAAACATACTTAGCAATAAATTTAACAACCAAGGAGGTGAAAGACCTCTACACTGAAAACTGCATATCTGTGGAAAAGTACAGATGACAAAAGCAAAAATAGACAAATGCAGTTACATCAAACTGAAAAGCTTCTATATGGCAAAAGAAACAGTCAACAGAGTGAAGAGACAACTTACAGAATGAGAGAAAATATTTGTAAACCCTACATCTGATAAAGAGCTAATATCTAAAATATGCAAGGAACTCAAATAACTCAATAGCAAGAAAACAAATAACCTGATTTTAAAATTGGCAGTGATTTTAAAAGCACTTGAATAACATTTCTCAAAAGAAGATATTTAAGTGACCAACAGGTATATTTAAAAATGCTCAGCACTGATGGAGATATCCAAGATGGCTGACTAGCAGCAGCTCAGGGTTGCAGCTCCCAGTGAAGGTGCAGAGAGTGAGTGGACGCCAGACTTCCAGACGAATTTTTGTTGCCTGCGGACCAGGAGCTTCCCAGCGGAGGAGCCCCACAGGTCACTAGAGCGACTCTTTTGGTTGGTGCGGCTGTTTTGCCTGCGTCCTGGCGCGGCAGTTCTCAGTGCGGAGTATGCGGGACTGGGTGCCCTTTTAGTTGGCGTTTGGAGCTCTGGGAAGGCAGAGTCGCCCATTCAGCTGATTGAAGAGGGAACTGAAGCCGGGAGCCAGATTGGGAGATTCCCCGGGCAGAAAAACGCCACGAATCTCAGCGCTGCTGTTTCAGCTGGCACGGTCACTACATGGGAAATTGCATAGATCTTGGCGCCTTTTCAGCAGGCGACTGGGGACCTGGGAGAGAATTGACCATTCAATTAGGAAAAGAAAAAAAGGGGGCTCCGAGGTGGGGAGCCAGGTGATCCGGCTCGGCTGGTCCCACCCCCACAAAAAAACAGCAATTGGAAGCGCTGATGGCTGAGAGTTTCATAGCAAGCACAGCTGAACCCAGGAAGGTCCAGCTCTGTGGGGGAGGGGTGTCTGCCGAAGGAAAACAAAGAAACAGAAATAACATCACCACCAACAAACTGGATGTCCACTCAGAGACCCAATCTGAAAGTCAGCAATTAAAAAGACGACAGGTGGATAAATCCACAAAGATGGGAAGAAACCAGTGCAAAAAGGCTGAAAACATCCGAAATCAGAATGCCTCTCCTCCTTCAGGGGATTGCAGCTCCTCATCAGCAAGGGAACAAGGCCTGATGGAGAATGAGTGTGATGAATTGTCAGATTCAGGCTTCAGAAGGTGGATAATAAGAAACTTCTGTGAGCTAAAAGAACATGTTCTAACCCAATGCAAAGAAACTAAGAAACATGAAAAAAGGTTTGATGAAATGCTAATGAGAATAGACAATTTAGAGAGGAATATAAGTGAATTAATGGAGTTGAAAATCACAATACGAGAACTTTGCGAAGTATGCACAAGTTTTAGCAGTCGAATTGATCAAGCAGAAGAAAGGATATCG